AGGTGTGCGCATCGGCCCCGGCTGCATAGAAGCGTAAGAACCTATTTACAACAGGAATTAGTATGGGAAATAACAAGTTTTTTTCCCGGTCCCAAGCTGCCTCTGCGCGTCCTGGGGATGTACCTTTGTCGCGCGCCGGAGACAACTCGACGCCGCTGAGATCGGAGACCTGGGGTCTCGACGGGCCCCCGGGGGCGACGGGGGTGCTCTCCGGCCGCGGCGGCCGAAAACGGGGACCTCCGTTACGGTCCGTTAACGAAGTGATGCACTTGATGCAAGGGTGCCATTGTGCTCTACTACAAAAGTTGTGTAAGCTGCCCAAGTCTCAGACGCTGGATCCTTAGCGGAGCTGAGTTCTGACGGTGTGAACACGAGCAACCGGAGTGACGACCGGGACCGGGCCGCACGCCGGGAGTGTCCCGACTAGCAGTGGCGGGCGCGGATGAGTGAATGAGAGGTCGCTATCAGTGGGAGATGTGTTGTTAGAGACTAGGACTGCCTATCTCTCACTGAAAGGGACCTCTCATTCGCTCGTCCGCACCCGTCACCGCTCACGGAGTGCTCCGCGTGCCGCACCGGCCGCCGCGGCCGCCGCCGGCCGCCGGCCGCTTACGCGGTAACGGAACAGTGTTACTACTCCGCAACGTTGAGCTGGATCAAACTGAATAGTGCTCCTGAAAGCCCTCTCTCTGGGCTCTGCCACACAGTAGCAGCTCACGACTAGCAGCTGGTGTGGCTGTATTTGTAGCCATTTTTAGGCTTCAACTGGTCCCAAAATAGTAGCAACACCTCATGAAAATCAGTCAAAAAAGCCCCAAAAAATCGGCGCCTGCGGCGGGCTACCTGGGGCTGCGCCCCAGACCCCCTTGACTGGGGGGACCCCCCGCGAGAGCACCCCCGTCGCCCCCGGGGGCCCGTCGACACCCCAGGATCGGAGATCAAGCTCTGACAGGTCGCACGTCGCTCCTTTGACGCCGACGTGACTCACCCGTGCAGATCACATCAGGACACGGTCTCGACGCGCTCGGTACGACGCCTGCGACCCGTCTTGGGTCAGGTGGCACGACGCTCATCGCGCCCGCCAGCGCTGCCATGCAGGCTGCCACGACGAGGTCGAGCACGCTTCTATACGCTCGCCGAGCCTTCCTTTCCACCCCATTAGGCAGCCTGGGAACGGTGGCGGTCAGAGGCAAAGCCTACGAGGGGTGGTGGAACCACATGTCACGGCTACTGCCGGCTCGACCCCACGATAGCCTCCGAAGGCTGACTTTGCGGCACCATCATCGGACGATGTCGACGAGTTGGGTCGCTCTCGCGGTAGCCAGATGACCTCTCATACTAGGAGCATCGGCCATGGCCGCAGGGAGCGCGGGGGAGGGCGCTGGGAGCAACACGGAGCTCCGTTGGACGTTTTCAAGATTAGCGTGTCAGAGTGAAATGGCACTAGCCCTAGTGCCGTAAAACGGTAAAGATAGACACTAGCCTTTCCGCTCTCGGATCGAGGTTCGCGCGCGCGGACGACCAAGAAGGAGTGGGATCT